TGAGCTGTTCTGCGTTGGAGAAACGGCCTAAGCGCCTCATTTCTATGTCGAAGTAGGTCTTTTGGGAGAACATTGGGACTCTCCCAGGCGCATCATACCCATATACCCACCGGAGGGCATTTCTTTGCATACATGGCGTCCGGAGCAGTTTATTTCACCTCATTTTATACCTCTCAGCATCGCATCAACAAGCACGTGGCTGCTAGACTACCATACATCACGGGGTTCGTAGCGGCAGCCATTTGCGGTTAAGAAGCATTCGGACTCGCGCACGAGAATTTAGACGGTTCCATCACGACCACATATTTCCTTGCCCTCAAGGACACGGTCCCCTATGCAGGGGTTGTATCCAAAGGCACTCATTCACCGGATCGCTCCTTTTCTTCTTTTTGGAAATACTTGACATCAAACTACCCTGGGCGACTCTGGATGTTGCTTGCATACGTCTCATGGGGTTCTTCGATATCGAACTCTTCAGGGCAGATACGTCCAGGGCTCCCATCATTTCACTTTCACTTCTTCTCTTGGTTGATTACTCTTTCTGGGATGACTAACCTACTTTCAATCGTTACGACTTTGATGATGGGGGACGAATTGTGATATCTGGCTTTTGCCTAAATGGTTGGGTGCGGTTTGGCTGGGTGGCAACTGAGCTGCCATCAGCCAGGAGGGAATGAGAATGCCTGCCATGTCGCTCGTTACAGTTTTGGGGATCGGGTTCTTGACTGGCGCTAGCTAAAGGTTATTCGAACAATGAACAGGCGTTACTGTTCCTTCATGATGATGTCGAGCCTCCCTTGCTTGGTGACGTTTGTTTGCTTGTCTTCGATCGTCATTACTAGGTGTTGAAATCTGTGGAATCTGTGATTTGTGATGTGTGGTTTGATATACTTCATGGACGATGATGATCCCAGCTTACGTGGTCCACACGAATTAGCGACGCTTAGAAAGAGATGTCTGCCTGCTTCTGTAGTGATTGTTGATGTTTGGCTCGATTGTTTTCAATTCCTCCCTGGTTGTCATGGCTAACCATTATCTTTTCCGCATGTCCTTGTCACGCAAAAAAGCTTGGTGGACCTCTAGTTCCTTGGATGGAGGAGTCTATAAATTCTAGTGCCCTGCTGTGATTCATGATGGATTGGTCGATCGTCTTCTCCAGGTCGTGGCATGTTGATAGAATAGACCCCCGGAAGGGATAGTTGCACCATGTTGCACTATCAACAACTTTTTTCTCTCGGATTATTTTCTTGGGTTGACGAAAACAAGATGTTTTCTGCGATCGCACTCCTACCATCCGCGGCGTGGCCTGATCAAGTCTGCAAATGGTCTGTGTTTGTTTACATATCGCCTCGTGACGGGGGCGAAGACCACAATGACCCGGACATCCTGATCTGTAGGTACCTCAGATTTCTCGAGGGTACGGCGAGGGGACAAGGAGAATGGGGAAACAAGATACAGCCTCTCCGTAGGGAGTTGAGCAAAAGTATAATTTAGCAATAGATTAACGACAGCGCGAGGGAAAGTAGGACTCCTCCTAGTAGCCGGTCCTTTCACGACTAAGTCCAACAAGTACCTTACCAAAGAATACCTTAGAATAGGAAAGAGGGGGGTCACTGGACGCTCCTACCCGGACCAGAGCAGCGTGCCCCTCAGCCAACCCGGGCATCTTTGAGGGCGAGAGAGTAGGTACTTATGTGCCTCCTTCTTCATTCCTATCACTCAAGTGATTCGGGTAAGTTGGTCGAGGGGTTCTTGGGGGAAGACCCGAGTGTGGATCTCAGTCCTCTTGGCTACTGATACGACACTTGAGCTTTTTGTTCGATTCTTCATAGAGGAGCTCTTCTTTTTTTCCCTTTCATATTTGCGGGCTTCCTAATCCTACCTGTCTCCTTCCCTCCTTCTGGCATATTCATTTGGGAGAACGCTGACCGCCAGCGGTCCCCGGTTACCTGACCTTTCACCTTCTCACCTCCCCCTGGGCAACCAAGAAGGTATATATTACTACTCAATGATCATCCTGTCACTTGAGTGATTCGGGTGAGGTGGTCGAGGGTTTCATGGGGGAAGACCCGAGTGTGGATCTCAGTCCCCTCGACCATTGATCTGACACTCAAGTTTTTGGTTCGATTCCTCGCGGAGGACTTTTTCTTTTGTATCTTTTGGGCTTCATTAATGGCCTCCCTGACATCACCTAAAGGCGTGGCACGGAGGATACGTCCCTCGGGTTTCCTCTTCTTCTAACTCTTCTTTCGCCAAACCGTTCGACAGAAGGCGCCCATCCACGACTTCTGGTCACCTGACCGTCCTTTGTCTGCCGTAGACAGCAGAGCTTACATATAGGACCTCCAATAATGTGCCTTCTACCACCACAGCAGCGCCTGTTGGGGTTGGGTCAAACGGTTTGCGAGGTGGTTGAGTAGTTGATGTAACAAATTAGTCAGGGAATCCCTCAGGCGTATCGAATATATGGAAGGTTGGTGCTTTAATTGGCTAGTTTGGGTGTTTTCTCCTCATGACTTGGGAACTTCCCATGGTAGCACGCGTGTAATGTTAAGGTTTTGTATCTATGGAAGGGAATAATCGCCCTCGCCATTTGGTTAAGCAGTGGCATATTAGCCTCATGACGGTAATACCTACTTAATGGACTCCCTTACAGAGTGTTTTGATCAAACTACCTTCGCGTGTCCAAAGGCCTTTGGTATCTGAGTGCTTCATGAATTAAATCACAGCAAGTGATGGCGCTCTTTATTGCGTTATGAAGGACACTGGTGTCGAAAGCGAGGCTGTGACGATAAACTCATGATTCTGATGCGGGTATGCTTTGGACAGAGGTATCAAGGCCCTCGTTGTACGCGTTCCTATGTATTACGAGAGATTCGAGGTTGAGAGACGGGAATGCAGGCTCTTGGTATTGATGGATATCCGTAAATGTCTTTCCACACCGATTGACTACGTTGGGTACCTTCAAAGATCCCTGGCAAGGATTACCACGTCTCAGAGATGCAAGCCACGAGGATTACGAAAACGATGTACAACTGCTCCGGCTTTACATTAGGTTAGGTCATGATCCACGGCGGGTCGTCGAGTTAGTTCTGCCCGGCGAGTGGAAGTAAGGGTAGCCGAAGACCGTCGATTCATCAGATCAGGTCGCAGATGAAGGGAGTCTGCAGGAATTGAAACGTGAAGATAGCGAGTATTCTTTTTTATCCGCCTTGTATGGTACATAGTATACAACGTCGATCCTCTTGAACGCCAAATTCCGTGTGTAATAGTATGGTTGTACATCTCATATGCCACAAGCTGTGCTCGATTCACCACTTCCAGACGGATCAGATAACCGTCATCGGCCGAATCCGCCTCTGCTGCTGCCATGGTCGGTTCAGCTGTCGTGAACGTAGCGCCATCGCCCTCGCGGTCTTTCCCGGAGTGTGCCATTCGGGGAAGACCTCCACCTTCATATGGTTGCCCTGGTCGCCCCCTCCATATTTGCAATAAGTTCGGTGTATAGCTCCGTCTCCGCCGCGCGACCTGCTTTATTTGCCCTTGGAGTGGGGAATCATCTTGTCGTACATACGGCCGAGGTGGTAGTTGACGGTGGACGAAGGCTCCTTGGGCTTCTTGGGCTGATCCATGCAGCCGCGCAGGGCGTTCTCGAGGGCGGCGCAGCCAGAGGTGTTGTACCCTGCTGAGGCCCAGCATGCTGTAGGAGAAGAAGTGTCAGTCCATGTAGCGCAAGGAGTATGATGATGAAGACGCTGCGATGCCGTCCAGGGGTTGTTCATCTGGTGGCTGGGATGAGGCAATTCCATCGAGACAGGAGAATATGCCAGAGAGGAAATTGACGAGCGAACACAGGGTAGGTAGAATTACCAAGAACTGAGGTCATGACCTGCATGCAAGGCTGCTCTACCTTGCCGTTGGGGTTACGAACACGGAGGACCTTGACAGGTGGCAGGCGCATCGGTTTTTGCGGCATGATGGGCAATGTGCGTGTATCTTCACCGGTCAATTATGTCGTCGGATCGTTTTGACAGCTGTTCAAGCTATACGCCTGTCGTTGAATCGTCGGATTCGGTTGTCGATTGGTGGATCTTTGCGTCCGTCGTCATACACCTCTACCAGGAAAGCTCCCCGATGCTTCGCAAATGGACGCCATCGCGAAAGCTTTGATGCGAGCCCCCGGAACTTTTTTTCACCAATCACGTGTCTTCAGCCTCGTCGATGCCTTGTAAGGTTGCTGATTGGTCAAAAACGCGCTGTGGCGTCTGAATGGTGGGGCAAGACACGGTAGCCAGACAGCCGTGCCTCCGTGCAAAGCGCGCCTGGGATGTCCCCAGAGCTGCGACTGCAAGCGGCACTTCAATTGTGTGAGGGTGAGGGCCTCGGGAGCTCCCGATTGGCTGCCTTGCCTCGAATGTAAACAAAGGGCGACCTCGAAAGCGTCCCTTTCTGCGTTGCCCGTTGCCAGCCCACCACACCGATTTTCACTTAATGGTCCCCTTCCTGCGCAATATCTGCCCTCCTACTCCCCCTTCCCGGTTCTCGATTTAGAAACCTGGAGGTACCTTGAACCTTTTTTCTTCTTTCCCCAATCCATCCTCCAATTTCCGCGCCCAGGAACCACAACCCAATCGCGACACAAGCCGATACCTCACCCAATTCAGGGTATCGTACTCTATCAATCCACGACACAGTCAACACTGCACTACAATCGTCATTCGGATTCTATTGAGCCGTTTCCTGGCTTTTCAATCCGGTGGTTGTTCTGCATCTCATCTTCCTCACCCCCTGCACAGTCGCGCTTTGTTTATCTTCTTTTTTCCGCCCCCAAATCGCATCGCGCCTCCGCGGCCACTTTTCCCACGATCACGTCCGAGAGCCTTCTCGCCGCGTCGCATTGAAGCCATAGCTCCCGCGCTAGATCCCTCCAACACACTTTAACCTCGTCATCCGGTCATCTGGTCAATGTCTCGCAGTCGCCGCCACTATACGGATACGCGATGAACTTTCCAAAGTTGACCTTTAACCCGCCCTCGGGCAACCTCACACCCTCCCCTACCGCGCGCTCCTCCCGCGACCGCACCGCCAGCCCTAAGAGGGCGCCGGCCGGTTTCTCGAATCTTGAGCCCACTCAGGACCGTACCGCTAATGTCGATATGGCCTTCTCTAACTTCGACTTCACCACGCCAACCAAGGGGAGCGGCGCACCCATTTCCGCGGCCACAACACAGCCCGCAAGATTCGCTCCGATGTCTTTCACTTCGCCAGTCAAGAAGTTCAGCACAGCTGAGACCCCGAGACTGAAGGCCGGCGCTTCAAGACTTTCATCGACAATGCCGCTAGATGCCCCGACCAAGACTCCATCCCCGAAGAAGGTGTCATTTGCCGACGCCAGTTTCCAATCCTTGACTGCGTCGACTCCCAAGCTCGCTCGCAATCTCTCTCCGAAGTCGAGTCCTTCGAAGCCTGCCGTCTCCGACTACTCAGTCATGTCAATTACCTCTCCGACAGCATCCCTCGTCTCCAACGATCGGTCCCCGCGCAGCGATTCCGACTCGAATCAACAGCAGGCCGAGTCCGCGGCAGAGGAGGAGGGACATGAGGACGACGATGAGGAGGAGTCTCAAACAAGCAGCAGGCCCGGCCAGTCGCCCCCAAGAGGTGTAGAGGAGGCTGGCGGGTTCGAGTCCCCTTCAAAGCTCGACATCACCATGGCCGATATCACCATGGTTTCTGACTTCGCCCCTTCGCCCAAGAAGTCTCAGCAGCCGTACACGTTCGCTACCATCGAACTTTCGGAAGCTGCAAAGGAGTTCTCGTATGCCTACCGCCTTCACATTTGTATACTCCCTCACTGACTGACTTGCTCTCTCTAGTACCCCCTTCGACCCCGAGAGCTACGCCGATTTCGATATCACGTCTGCGCTCACCCCAGTGCCCAGCTTCGCCCGGCAACGGGCCCGTATTCCCCTTACAAAGCACCGGAAGCCCAGGGGCATTGTGTTCGAGAAGGCCATCGCAAGACAAGTTGCCGAGTCCCTCGCCATGGAAGAGCTCGAGGCCGCCGCCAGCTTCCGGCACATTGCCATGAAGGGCGGTCTGGCGTATGCCCTCTGTCCTCGAAAGAGGCAGAGGGTGGCCGAGCCCACGGCAGAGGACGACTCGGAGCCGTACTGGCTGGAGGATGTGGACGAAAGCGGCGTGATTAACATGATCGAAGCTCGCCGCGTCCTGCGCAACGACCTGAAGGCGCTTCCTGCCGGCCTTTCTGTTCACGAACAGCGCCGTCAATACCACGAGGAGGTGGAGAAGTACGGCGAACCCATCGTGCCGACCTGTGGGAAGAGAAACTATGACGGTGAGAAGAAGCGAGCCTATAACAATGGCCTGCTGACTCACACCATCATGGCGCCTCTTCTTGCGTTCCCGATGCCAGAGCTGAGCTTCGACTGGGTGCTTGAGACTGCCATTCGCGAATCCAATAGGGTTCATGGTCGCGAGCAGCCCAAGCATCGCAACGTCAGGCAGCCCATTGCCATCTTTGGAGAGTCTGACTTCTCAGTCATTGAAGAAGAGGAGGAGCCTCAAAGCCCGACTGCTAAGCTCCCTCACTTCCCGTCGACGGCAACACACCACTCGAGCTCAAGCCGAAAGACCAGGCTCGCTAGAGGCGCTGCCAATCTGGAGGCTAAGCTCGCCACGCTCCAATCAGTCATGGAAGAAAGGTCGCCTTCACCTTTGTCATCCCCCGTTCGACCCGGCTTCACCTTTGCAATGCCCTCATTTGTATCGACTCTCGAGGTCACCGAGATGAACCATGAGGCAACTGAGGTTGAACACGAGGACGAGCCCGCTGCCGTCGAAGTCGCGAGTCCAATGGTCTTCTTCAAGAACCGCAACGAGACTTCGCCCTTCAAGAAGCGCAAGTCATTGCCTGCTGCACGTCGTCTTTCCTTTTCCGCCCCTCTCCGCCGAGCATCTCTTCCTGCTGCCGGCTTCGCCCAGCTTCCTGTGGTGCAGGATCTTCAAGATCCAGCATCCGGGTCGCTGGTGGGTGCTCCCGATTCGTCGGTTGAGCTCCACGCGGTGCAGAATCCCCTCGAGGTTGATTCAGCATCTGCGGCAGCTGCCCAAGCTACTCCAGAGAGAACCCCGCCACCATCTCCTTCGCCAGTCGTTGTCGATGCCAGAGAGAACCCGGACATCTTTGGCTCCTTCCAGGACCACTCTGGATCCCCGATCCAGGCGCTTGCATCTCTCGCTCGCGTGTTTGAGGAGGCCAAGAAGACGGATATGGATGGAAAGGTTGTTGTCAGCAGAGAGGGAGGCCGTCTGATTGTCCGATTTAAGGTTTCGGACGAACATGCTGCCCTCTTCGCCCAAGAGCAAGAACCCGTCGAAGAGCTTGTCGACGCTGTTGACCCTGCCACCGAGCCGGCCACTGCTACCGCGTTATCGCCTATTCGCCTGACCACTGAGGCAGAGGATGAGAAGAAGACAGCAGAGGAAGCCAAGATCGAAGCGGAGGAAGAGGAGGTGGCGCATGTGCCTTCGCAGGCGCCCGCCCCGGTTGAGGAAGACGACGATTCTATGGTCTTACTTAGGGGATTTTTGACCAGACACAACGCTAGGAAAGCTGCTATGGCTACTCTCCCCGTGCCCGTCGAGCCCGCCGAACCCGCGGTTCTTTCTCCCACTCCAGCGGTTGAACCAGTTGCTGCACACTCTTCGCCGGACCCTCTTACATCCGCTCCAATCCTTCTGGCGGCCACTCCAGAGCGCAATCAAAGCATCTGGGCCGATACACCGGCGTTCTCGATCACGTCGTCGGCAGATCGTTCTCGTCCTCCTAGAAGGGCTTCTCCAGCTGTGTCAACCGGACGCCAGCCTCTTGGATCGCTCGACGTTAACAGCCCGAGCCCCAAGAAAGCCAAGCGCAAAGCTGAGGAAGTTGACGAACGAGAGGCATCGCCAGAAAAGCCGCAGCCGCCGAAACGCCAGCGCAGAGCCAAGGCTGACGTTCCAGACGCGAAGAAGGCCGCAGGCAAGGCCAGCGACAATTCCGCCGATGAGGATGAAGTTGCGCCTGTCACGAATGTGCGCACCAGACGTCAGCTCGCCGTCGCGCGTGGAGAGGCTCCGGCAGTTACCAAGATCCCGGTTAGAAACAAGGGAATGAGTAACATTAGAGCTGGGGAGAAGGACCTTGCGGCTTTGACTCGCCAGAATACCCGCAACAATAAGGGAGATGCGATTTCTGCTGAGGAGATGCTCGAGGCGATCAAGACTGCGCCGCCCAAGATAGAGACTCGGGCGGCCGCTGCTGCTGCTAAGAAGAACAATAAGAGTGTTCAGTGGGCAGCTCAGCTGGCTAGAAGCCAGTCTGAAGACCCGTCTACGGCTCCAATTGATTCTGACGAGGCAAGCTCTAGCTCTGCTGAGCTCAGCCCCGATGAGGAGAAGCAGGTTGGAAAGGCGAGAAAGGTCAGGGCTTCTACAAGTAAGATCGCTACGACCAAGGCTTCAACCGCCAAAGCTTCGACCTCCAAGGCTGCGACTACGAAGACTGCGACGACCAAGACCGCGCCTGCCAAAGCGACCGCAGCCAAGGCAACCAAGGCAAGCCAGTCCAAGTTGGCTACTGCCCCCAAGACGGAGGGCGCGAAGGTGTCGAAGACTGCGAAGAAGCCCACTGCCGCGGCGAAGAAGGAGCTGGGCCTGAGTGCCAACGGTACTCCTGCCAAGCGTAGTGCTCGTACCACGAAGAAGTGAGCACTTGCCGAATGAGCATAATTGGCTTCGCCGCTTGAAGGAAAGAATCATGGATGGAGGAATTGCATGGAAGGGGAGGAACGAACGGCATTCGCATCGCATGGGGGACTTCAAAAAGTAAAGCATAGCTATGGGCGTTTGGGACTGTTTGATATTTTTTGTTGGTCTTTTCTTGACCTTTGTTTGCATCATGGCCGCCCGGCGAGGCGAGTGTTTCGATTCTTGTTCTACTCCTGTTCTATACCCCATTGCTTCGTTGCGGACAGAGGCGGATGGGACTTTTATTATTATTATGAATGATGATGATGAACTTGAAATAACTCTAGAATTACTCGTGCTGTGTATTTATGTGACGCGAATTGGGGTGTTTACTGACACGCCGCATGTGGTCGCAAACGTCGCCTTGACTCCGAATGTGGTGTCTGCTCTGCGATACCGTAGACCGGGAACTCGGATCAGGGCCCAAACGGGTCAAGACCCTTATTCACTGTGCAGGGGAAAAAGAGGGGTAGCAACGCCGAACATGCATGGCAATGCCGGTCCCAAGTTCCATTGGACTGGATTCTACGCATTTTGCTGGAAACGCTGGGTTATCTCGGTGGATGCCCTGCAATTCGATGTGAGCGGTGGGAAAACGGGATGCGGGCTAGCGAATCCCACGGGAGGACGTTTGACTCTTCTGCATCCGGGCGGTTTGTCGGGTCTGTAAGACTGGCTGCGGTCCATTTAGGCCTGCCATGCTTGTCTTTTGGTCCAAGTACGGATAAGGTTCCCTGCTGTAAGATGAACGAACCCCTCAGCAAGCCACACATTGGCAGACACGGAAGGGAAGGGGGACCTGGAAACGGGCAGATACAAAAACTGGAGCTCCCCTGCCTTACCTTTCAGACGGAGGAAGCCCAGTCTGATTGATCTTGCGCGTAGTCACGATTTATCTGCCTTGCTTAGAACAGTGATTCCGCGAAACACAGGAGACTACGAGCAGCGGCGCGATTCACTAGTGTTATTCTCAACGTTTTCACATACCTACACTCATTTCATACCCGTGAGACGAAAAAGGCGCACATCATGGCTGAAGCACCGGGCACACCGCCTCCCACAACCGCACCCGCAGCCGGTGTCGCATCCGCAGACCCGGCACCGACGACGAGTCCATCGCGAGTCGTTCCGGCAGTGGCTATTGAACCAGCTCAGCAGGATGACCCCGTTGAAGCCGATGAGGGATTTGCAGTGCGTCGCAGCCCAGTTTCCCTTCTTGTAGATTGACCGGTGGTTTACTAATACTTCCGGTGTAGAGCGATAACGACTCTTCGATTGATGATAGAATGTAATGGCTTTCTGAGATTCCCACCGCCCCATCTCATTCATTGCGCCTTTTTGTTCCTGACCCAGATGAACGAGATAGTTCGAGTTACACCGCGTCCCTATCATCCAGCGTCATCGACTACCCGGAAGAATATGGCCGTCGCTATCATGCATTCAGGCCGGGCTGTGAGTCTTCCTTTCCTGCAGCATTATGATGGGAATGGAGGGTGACAGCCCATGTTCAGTCTACTGACGCTTCAATGTAGCGTATTCGTTCCCGAACGACGAGGTCGAAATGGAGCGCCTCGACATGGCTCATGCCATGATGGTGAGGGCGATTGGAAGCAGGCTCTGGCTGGCCCCGCTGGCCAAGGAGAAGGTCCATCGTATCCTGGATATCGGCACGGGTACTGGAATCTGTACGTCCCATCGCGCAACTTAGTGATCGTCGAAGCCATGCGTTGCTAATCGCTTGCGGGCCGTAGGGGCCGTTGAGATTGGTGACATTTTTGAGAACGCCGAGGTGAGTTCGTGATAAGTGAGATTGGTGATGATTCGCTTTGCTAAGAGATGGGCAGGTTATTGGGAATGATCTGAGTGCTATCCAACCTGAATGGTGCGTCAAGTCTCGGCATGAATCCCTCTCTGATGATTCCAAAGCTCACTCTTCTTCTCTGGACTCTAGGGTACCCCCGAACGTCAAGTTTGAGATTGACGATGTCGAGAGCGAATGGGTCGGCGTTAAAAAGTACGACTTCATCATGTGCCGCTACATGGCCGCCTCCATCCAGGACTGGCCAAAGCTGATCGCCAACATTTACGAGTACGTTACCCTGTTCCCATTCCCTCTAACTTGTCCCATCTTCATTCTCATGACCCCCTCCACAGCAACCTTAACCCAGGAGGCTGGGCCGAGTTCCAAGACATGAGCACAGAATACTACTCCGACGACGGCAGCTACAAACCCGAACACGCAACCTACGAATGGAATCAGACCTTTGTCGAAACTCTCGACAAGATCGGGCGCGATCCCCGGCCCGGACCGAAACTCGAGGGCTGGGTGCGCGGGCACGGCGGGTTCGAGCACGTGGCGCACCACAAGTTCAAGACGCCCATCGGGCCGTGGGCGCGGCACCGGCATTTCAAAGACCAGGGGTTGCTGAACCTGGCGCAGATTCTTGAGGGGTTGGAAGGGTTCTCGTTGAAGCTGCTGTGCGGTGTTTTGGGGAGGAGTAAGGAGGAGGTGTTGGTGCAGCTTGCGGAGGTGAGGAGGGAGTTGAAGACGGGGGTTTTTCATGCTTTGTTGGATTTGTGAGTTGTCATCCTTTCCTTGTTTTCCCTTTCATTGTTCGCTGTGGACGGTGGCTCGAAGATTGATTGTGGCTAACAAGCTTTGTGCGCGTAGGCATGTGGTGTATGGGCAGAAACCTGCTCTACCGGCTGCTACAGCGGGGACTGAGTAAGTGTGGAAGTGTCGTCTGACATTGGGATGTGCAGCATCTCCATGTATGGCATTTAGGCCTGCAAAATAGATTCCGTTCTTCATGGCTCATAGTATAGCGATGTAGCATTTTGATGTAAAGGATTGAATCATACGCAGATGACGTTGTGTTTAAACTAACTGGCTCAAGCGTGTATTGATTATGCTGGAGCTGGTCTAAGTCTGACCTCTCGCCCGCTCATCTCATTTCATCTTTCAAGGATTTGACTCTCACTCGGGTTCCTCTCATTTGAGTTCCTGACAAGTGATCATCGGCTGGGTGAATGAATGAGCGAGTGAGCGCACAGTCTTCAGCCCTATGAGATGAACGGGTGGTCCCGAGTGCCAAGTTCGGACGACGCAATGGAAGCGAGTAAACGTGGAGACGGTCAAACCATCAAAATGGAACCTGGAAGCGACCAGAAAAAGCCCAGAAAAATACCCGCCATCAGCGTTCCGATCTGCCGAAACAAACGGGCAGAAAGCCAATCTGACGTGCAGTCGCACCTGCAGCCCAAGGAATCCCATTACGAATCGCCCGTCACACGGCGCGCACCTTCTTTCCCTTAGGCGCAATTCGATCCCGTCGGGAGGCCCCCTTATTTCCTTACCTCAGCCATTCTCTTTTTTTCTTTTTCTTTTTTTGCCCCCTACGGCCCAACTCACCTTGCCTTCCTGACCTTGGTCACTTGACCCCGCGACGACACGTCAAATCCCCCGCCAACCACGTGCAATTCTCTCTCATCCTTCCAACTCCCAACTGTCACTACCGAAAGAAAGAGAAGAAACACAACAGCCTGGAGTGAATAAAAATGTCGCTCTTTGGCAACTTTGACGTCGCCAAGCTGGCATCCCAGCTGGGCAACTTCAAGATCCCCGACGACCCAGAGATCATCAACCAAGGTGAGTGAGCGAATGAGATACTTTGCGACAATCCTCCAACCTCAATCTGCTCTCGGCCCCTCATAATTTCGCAAGACCCCCACCTTCCTTATCTCCAAAAGCATCACAACAACGATTCCTAACCACACATCACAGGCCACCAGGACTACGGCTACAGCAACTACGGTTCCCACAGCCAAGGCTACGATGGCAGACCACCCGCGGGATACGCCGGTGGTCCGCAGAATGGCGCCGAGGAGTACAAGCGCGAGCACCCCGCCGCCTTCGGCTCCAGTGACCCCACGCGCTCCGCCTACTCCGACCCCGTCTCCGAGGGAAGTGCCATGTCGTCCGTCGCCGCTGGCGTAGCTGCCAGCGCCGCCGCGGGTGCTTACGGTACCGCGCCGCAGTATCCCACTCCGCATCCCGGTAGGTATGGTGATTCCACATCATCTAGCCCATATCCTCAGCAGCAGCAACAACAGCAAAGCTTTGGACGGCCTCCTTCGCCGGGCTATGGAAGGCCCTCTTCTCCTGGTTACGGCAGGCCCCCTTCACCTGGCTACGGAAGACCGCCTTCGCCGCGACTGCCAGAGGGATGGGTCAAGCGGTTTGATGACAACAGCAGACGATGGTACTACGTTAATCAAGCAACTGGCTCTTCTCAGTGGGAGGCTCCTCCGCCACCGTCGGCCATGTCTCCCCCGCCAATGTCGCCGCCAGGCCATGGAGGGTATGGGGAATCATCTCGATATGGCGGACACTCGCCACAGCCGGGATACTCGCCTCAACCTGGCTATGGAGGACATTCACCACAGCCCGGATACGGAGGCCCACCGCCTCAGCCGGGATATGGCGGACCCTCTCCACAACCTGGGTACGGAGGTCATTCTCCACAGCCCGGATACGGAGCCTATGCGGGCGGTGCCGCTGCGGCAGCTGCGGGAGCCGGGGCTGGGTACTATGCAGGACAGCAATACGGACAGAGCCAGCCCCATGGGGGGTACGAGCAGCCTCAACAGTACGGCCAACAGCCACCACAGCAGTACGGCCAGCCCTACGGACAGCAGCCTCAACAGCAGTATGGACAGCAGTATGAACAGGGATACGGCAGCGAAGAGAAGAAGAAAAAGAAGAAGAGCGGGAACAGCAACATGTTCCTCGGCGTGGCGGGTGGTCTCGCGGTGGGTGCGCTAGGAGGCGCGCTTATCGCCAATGTTTTAGGTAACGATCAATCACCTCTCCCAGGCCACGGTCTGGACGATTATTGACCGCGAAAACTGACAATTTCCGCAGATTCCGATTCAGACTCTGATCATCACGAGCACCACTACGAGCGTCGTTCTTCGTCTGGGTCCTCGGACCATTATCGCGGTCGGGATGATAGCGATCGGGGGTCTGATAGGGGGGATTATGAGGAGGGCGGCGACTACTATGATGATTAGGTTGATCAAGTAGCGCCGTCTGGGGCTCAACCGTTCCTGGAGGAAGGGGATGAGCAAGAGGTCCAGGAGCAGACTTACAGGGGTCCAGAGGAGTATCGGGACGATGGCGACGTTGATCATCTCGTGCACACCACCGGGTATGGCGAGGTTGTTTATGATGATATGCAGGGCGCTGAAGATGCCGGCATCGACGTCGACTGTGGTATCATGCACACCACCGGATATGCTGAAGTCATTTACGATGATGAGCCGGGTGCCTACGGGGACAGTATGGTGCACACCACCGGATATGGCGAGGTTATTTATGATGATGAGCCGGGTGCTGACGAGGTTCGCAACATCGATAACTATGCTGGTGACACCTTTGATGACGGCTATGCCGATGACGGGTATGATGATGGAGGCGACGACCATAGCGGCGATGACTGTGGCGGCGATGACTATGGCGATGACTACGTTGATGAGTATGGCCACGACTATTATGACAATTAGGTTGGCCGAGAATGTATCTTGACTGAGAGTTGCCTTTCATCTGGAACAATCCTGAAGCGTTTGCTACAGAGCATACATCTTACATTCTAGGCTTCGACAAATGGCATGAGATGAGGTTCTTCCATCCCACTATGCATATACATCTCGACCCTGAACAGTGCTAAACTCTATATGGCAATGGGTTTGATCGGGTGATATCATCCGGTCTTCTGATTGTGAAAGCCAAGAGATAGCAGAGAGCGACTGACAGCTTGGCAATCTCTTTTCTAGAATTGAAGCAAACCCGGCGGAGTCAGTCTGTCCTGGGCCCTGGCGCACTCATTTCGTTGCCGTCCTGACTGGGATGTGAATGGCGCACGCTCTCCAAGACGGCCTGCCCTGCCGCGTCTCGCAAGCATCACGGACCATAGAGCAGCCCTTTACTCAGTAGCGTCGCGAGGCGAAGGAAGTGAGAAAGAGTATCGGCAATCAGTCCCCGACGGAAATATAAGTCCACTGAGGGATGAATTTGAGTATTTGTACTCTGGAAGGCTCCATAGGCCGGGACAATGCTCGCAGAGTACTACTCTCGGCGCCGTTGAACGCAAACCGCCGGCAGTTGTAACCTATGGGGGTGAGCCCTGAAGCCGTGCGTCCCGCGGGATCAGACGGCACAGGGCAGTATTGACTATGCTTATTGTGTGTTGGACACTCGCCCCGTCTGATCATTGTTGCTGGGATGAACTTATCAATTAGAGTTTGAATAAGATAGAACCGTGAACGTGCCCCCCCAAGCCTCGTTGCGCGCGACTCAGTATAGAGTTTCCCGTTGTAGCTGGTTTCGGGTACGCGGCTTGTCCGTTGTCAAAGATCGTCACAGCGGAGTACTCTGTGATCATTCTTGATACTTATAGCTGGCCTGTCATCTTTCTGTGCACGCCTTGTTGTTGGAGTATGTCTCAACTGCTGTCAGTCTCTACCTTGCACCCTATATTCTGTCGCAAATACCCTTCCCGCGATTCTTGTACATAATTATCCAAACGCAAACATGAAGTTCCAAGCCGTTCTTTTCGTCAGCTTCCTTCCCTCAGTACTGGGATGGCGGGTATGTTGAAACCTCGAAGGAGTCTGATGACGCACTGTAGCTGACGGATGGGTATAGAACTGCAGACTTCCTAAAGGAGGTGACCTCGGTACATGCCTTTGGGATGGCGACCTGAAGACGGAATTGACTTGTGGCCAGGTAAAGCTCTCTCTTCTACTTTTGGGCATGATTCTCACCATCTTTGTCTGGTTTGAACGGGTCAAGTTGCTAATTTGTTTGTGTAATAGGGACACCCGTGCAAGACACTTGGCAACGGATGTATTCCTATCGGTTCGGGAATTGCGAACTGCTCGTAGACAAACAGAATGTGTGCACTTTTAGATACGGAACTACCTTAGGTCCAAGAGGTGTTGCTGGATGCTGCATGTGGTCTTAGATTATTACGGTGATATTTTGGAAAAGATTCCCTCCTAAGTTCTTACTTGGATTCGGCTGCAACATTGACATCATTGATACTCAATCAATAATCCAAGTATGTAGCGACGACAACAACAAAATGCCTATTGCCAGAGAATTCGAACACATTTCTAACTCCTACGGTATCAGTACACTTCCAAGATCAACCCAGTCATCCCCGCTCAGCATGACTTCTCTCACCAAACCACCTCAATAGATGGAATCAAGTACGATTGGTAAACGTTGAATTACCAAATTCCGAGTGAGGGTACTCGCAGGAATTCGAGCAATAGGTTCTGGGTAGAATCCGAACGTTGGCAGTCATTAGAGCTTTCTTCCTCTCATGTTTTCGAAAATGATAGCAGAATCTAGAGGATTCTGCGCTTCAAGACGCTGAAGTAGAGAAGTAACTAGCAAAACAACGCCAGCCTCAAGAAATGTCGAAACGGTGCTTCCTTCTGAGCCAATCAGCCCGATGATACCCTAAGAGTGCATTGGCTATAAGTAGCCAAGGCCGCAAGCGTTTATCATGCGCACAAATAGCAATGGCTCATATAAACCACATGAGGTCTCCCAGATACGGTATTTACTGCAGGGAGCTGACCATACTTATGCAACGCGGCAGCTGTCACCAATGACAGGTTAGAATGCTGCGACATCACGCTTAGAGGAGGGTGTGCTCGGAATGACGATAGCAATAAAAAAATGCGCTGAACCTTTTGTTGGAGCTCTTGTTGAGAAGTTTTGGATGGAAACACAGCAGGATCTTTGTAACATGGCCTTTTTTTTCTCACATCAACGATGTATGACATGGGAACAGACATTTCACACGTTCCTCTTTCACTTTCGCGAGAACTCGTAGGCACTTGATCATTGATGTATATGAACGTATCGCCTTGTACCGTCAATGCACACTTATGTATTACTAGAATCCTCTATATGTGGCCATTGGCCGTCATTCCGTCGCAGGAAGTGGGATTGGGACTGACAGATGCCCCAACCACCTTATGCGATATATCATGCCAAGGCAACATCGCCTTTCCATTGTTGCCAAAAACACTTTCCAAGCAGAATTCGTGTTCGTATTGACAGGTTCTGCAAGTATTTTACCGCAATTCGCCAATCAAGTGGCGGCTAATGAATATACCTACGTGTACAGCCAGCTTTGTCCACCTCCATCTTCAGAGCCTGCCGCACGGCACAGCTTGTGAATGACAGCCTGCATAACTATTGAGAGCTTCGCCCACTCGTGACGTCACAATTGCCAGGCATACTCTCGAAGTGGAATAACAATCTCGTCTTGTGAATTTGTGTCGTGAGGCGTATGAAATTGCAGCATGAATGCTGGCCGGAACCTGCTGCTTAGCTATAAAGGGCCCAGAGAACAGCTGGTTTGCCCGAGTGCAGACTGATTGTATACATACATGTACACTCGAAATTCTCCTAAAAACGCTACCTTCCCATGGATTATCTCGTCATAGGGCATCTAAACACAATTTTCCCACTACGGCGGACATTTTTAGTCGCACGGCAACATGGTTAATTGCGAAAATGATGCCGAGGACATGACCGACCCTGATATCATGGGGTTTGGGGTAAGCCTTTATCTTTCGAGGGGTTTGTCTCAGTACTAACGCAAAAAAGGTCCTGCTGTCCTTCGTTTTCCCAGTCCTAGTATCCCATGTCATCATGACCATGGCCTACGTCACTCGCAGGGCGAACCCTGAGGATTTTACCCAGATGGACTCCATGATACACAAGAGACTAGGGGCATACGAATCGAGAATTTCTCGCCTGCGTGGTGTGAGATATGAGCATCTTCTCTTGACCATCAGCGACCAGCTCTCAGTCACTAGCTTCGCGCTTCTTGTCGCATTATACTCACAAATACTCACGATTTCGTCCTTTTCGTTTTCTGTGGGCGTATCACTTGCCTTCCTCTCCTTCGGTGTTCATACAAACTGCCTAAATGGCCTGACACCATACTTAAGACTACATGAAAGGCAGGCAAAGTTACGCATAACTTTCTTGACATTACTAGTGGTCTGTCTTCTGGTTAGCAGTATCCTTGATAACTTATTCACTTCCCTGGTTCTGAATTGGGAGAAAGTTGCCGCATGCGCAACAAGAGGTTCAGGAACTACTTGGCTGTCAATTCTCGCCGCAGTTGCATTTATCTGGGTTTTCGGCATGAGCTATTACGATGCCGTTGCCCGGCTTTACTCATTTCTTCCTCTGCAAGACAACACTTTGCGCCTTCTGTGCTTCACCGAGGAGTCTAGAGAAAGTTTCAGGATTCTTTATCAGCGAAAGACGCTAAAGGAAACCGAAGAACACAGTGCAATGCTCGAGAAACTGTCTAGCGAGGACACGAACTTTTTTCATACTCTAAGACTGGCGATCCCGGTCTTGGTCGACGACATGGTAGATTCTATATTTTGGAGCCTCTTCCAAGACATGTCATATACGGTGTATCTACTCTACAGCCTAGTCTCTATGATTGCTTCGGCGGGGGAAGAAGAAGTCGAATCGTTATTAGAACCTAAGTTTGGTCAAATTTTGCCTCTAATCCTCCTCATAGTCTTTATCATCAACGTATTTGACGCCAAAGGTAGCCTACATTTCTTTTTCTCAAGTGAATCTAATAACAACAAATTGACTGACATATTTGTAGAAGAAAGAGAAGACACCAGGGTAGCATCAACAAATGAGATACAGAAGAACTCAGAGAATTCCGGGGAGAGTCATGTGGCACTGAACGTCCATAACTCCTCGACAACAGGACAATCTAACCTTGCCGGTGGGCAAGACTCCGGGCTCTCGACACCTGGCAGATCAAGGACCTCTGAGATGGAGTCAGGAGCCACTGTGAGTCTATTTCTTCTTTCCTACATCTTTCGCTTGCTTTTGATGTGGGAGTTTTGTTTGATAACGACAGAACATCTATGTTGACCTGACAATAATCCATGTTGTAGCCCAACGACTTTGACTTGCGGGCTGAATACGAGCAAGATCTCAAAGCAGCACTGAGGATGAGAAATCTCAGACTGCAGTTGGCGCAAGTAACAGCAGAAAAGGTGCCATGGTGTGCGTGGGTGGTTCTATGGACCGCGATCGCGATGCAAGCCGGCTTTGTGGCGCTCTTGGTGTTTCGTGGTGCGTGGGTGGCATTATTGATGTCCGCCTATGCCGTTATTACGTTTTTCAGTTCCGTTTTGCGGGGACTCTGGGAGATACGCAGAATCAGGGTCAGCACCAAAGCGATGTAGAGTCTAAGAGAGGGCAGACTGAATGGGCACGAGAGACGGGTGGATGAAGTATCGTGAAGTCATTGCATCGCGACCGACATGGAACTTTCATCAGATGAAATGGCTTGAACAGCGAGTCACTAAGAGTGAAAAGCCTTCATGGATCCTAACGTCTTGATAAATGAGGTCTTGGGCTCGCATCGTGTCAGTGAATTTGTAATTTCCGATGCTTGCGTAACTCAAACTACGGTCGGGCTATATCTGGGCCCTATCATATACGGCTTTGTGTAAAATTGGATCCTTCTTGAGCACAGAAAACAGCCGTTGAGTCAATAGTTTTAAGGTAGCGATGGTGCTTTTGTGTTCTAGAAGCAAGGCGGTGAAATGTATCCCATGAGGCGTGGAATGTTCATATTTTGTCTGTTTTGTTTGTCAATCATGTTCGTCATTCTTTTCAAGCTTTAATTGCATGTAGCAATGAATGCAGAAGTTGGCGATTTCAAATGATATTGATTTGTGTTCACTGCTCGTCCGCAGAAGCTCAAGAGACCGAGTAATTTGGCTCTAAGTTGACGTCGTGGGCAACTATTGAAGCTTTGCTAGTCTCCTGTTGTCGTAAATGATGACAGAATCGAGAAGTGTCTGCGCCCCCAAAGCACTAGATAACACCAACCTTTAGTACATGACTCCTTGCCTTTCGAATACGATCATGACTTACCAATCCTCCGGACTGCAATACTCTTCTGGGTGATGACTGATACCGTCTTTGCAGGGTACAAATATCATCGTTGTTGGACAATGCTTGCTCGTATTCACACTATCGTGTGTCGCGCCACTCGTCATACGAAGCCAGCCATCGTGTCCCACGATACCGTTCGCTGCTGTTTCGACAGCCCACACACAGTCCTCATCAAAAGTGGTGGCGGGGGAATCCACATCGATGCTCCAGCTCAGCTCCACGCCGTTTTCGCGGCAGATCTCCTGGAAAGAGGCGAGACATTGATCCTGGACCTCAGAGATGGTCTTATTATCTGGATGGCGAATATCAAGTGTGAACGTTGCTTGCGAAGCAACTGCATTGGTCGACGATCCCGGAGGAACTTTGATGATTCCTGTGGTCACGAAAGCCCCAGATGTCTGGGCCAGTTCATTCGAGGCCGCAATCATCTTCGCCGCAGCTAATAGCGGATCTTTCCTCGCTGAATAAGGCGTCGTACCCGAGTGAGCACTCCGGCCGGCTACGGCAAAAGTGAGCCATCTGCAGGCTTGTACGCCTCGAACAACTCCGATCTTTCTCCCTCTGGATTCCAACAAAGGACCTTGTTCGATATGTAGTTCAAAGTGCGCCCCTACCGGGCAACCTTGAGTTGCCGAACACGAAGTGTTCCCTAAGTATCCGTGTCTCTCGAGTTCTGACTTCATTGTGATGGAGGGATCTGAAACATCTCTCAGATCCCAAGCCTTTTGTATTGGTATTTCTCCTGCCCAGACTTTGGAGGAGACTGTTGTGCCAGGAAACCTGGCGCCCTCTTCACTATGGGGCTAAGTCAGCGAATCTAAATCCATGAGGGGCTCGACGGGCGGAAGCTGGATTTGCGTACTTTGTCCAATTGATGACTCCAATATCGAATTTAGAGTGATAGCCATTCTCTTTCATCGTTCTAAGTGCTTCGATACCAGCAACGACCCCTAGGATGCCATCGTACCTACCGCCTTGGGGCTGAGTATCCAAATGGCTGCCCATCGCAGTCATGGGCAGTTTTGAGCCCAGTGATCCTCTTTGCCTAGCAAAGATGTTGCCCATCTGATCAACTTTAACATCGCAACCCAATCTCTGCGTCTCTTCTATGAACCATCGTCTCGCGGTGGCATCTTCATCTGAGAGAGTCAGCCGGGCCATGCCAGTTTCATTTGGGCCTCTGGTGAGTTGTCAGCGATTTAAGAGGCTCCTTCGGAAGGATGACTAGGCTTACCTGCCATATCGATAAGCCGCTCCCCATTGGCAAGTATGGTGAATTGTTTCTTGGAGACGATCGGCGTTGATCTTAAGACCTGACAAGCCTCGGGAAAAGGTCGACGACCGGCGCACGAAGTAGAATGCCTGAGGCGCTGATGGCCTTCTTGGGAACATCCTGTCGCGATGATTTGATATGCGACTTCACCATATGTTCAATTCTGTAGACAAAGCATGCCGTTTTGTGGTTTGGACGACGATCATTGGGCTACCACTCGGGTAAAAGCCGTTATCTCGGAAGCAGTGCCGACAATCTGAGTGAGGGGTAGGTATCATGCCCCCCGGCAGTGGATTTCGGTGACAGCTTCATCGATTGACACGATAGGTAGCAGACATTGGGCAATAACAGAATAAATGGGTAGAGTTACCGAGTTCATTCTCTCAATCCATTTTCGAAAAGTTTATTCAGTCTTGCCGACGTAATAGTCTTTGATGGCACAGGAAACATGCGAGTTTCTCTCTTTTGTTGACCATTAGTAACTTCAAGTCTAGCCAACCTGTCAAGCAGCATCGTGACAAAGGATACGTCCTTTATGCAGAAATAGTGATTGAAAGATTCTATAAAATATTGTTCTAAATTTGCGTAGTTGCATTGGCGTAGATGTTGAGCTTGCGTGTGTGCATACAGTTAATCAAGCATCTGCGGCGTATTTGCGTTTAGCCTTGCATATCGATGAGGCTTCTTTATTGGACGGTCTCTTTCGGTTCCTTCTGGCTGGAATGTCACGAAGAAGGCTACTATTTGTTACATACTTCAACTTGGCTTTATACCCATCCTTGATGGGCATTTCCAGTCCTCTCAACGCAACATCAACCTGCTTCTGGCTTTGATTCATGCCCGAAACGGCCATTCTGGGCCTTCAACATACCAACAACAAATCAAAGCCAATTGAACTAGATGTGTTAGCGATGCCAGTTGACCAGGTTCTCTTTCTTTGCCTGAATTGAGGAAAAAATCAAAAATCAAATCATCCGCGTGATGCATCCGCCGGTAATCGAAACCGGGTCCCTTGCTATTCCGAATAGGAATGGAAGGCAAGGATGATAACCACTACACTACAGATGCGGATGTGGTGATAATCCACTCGCCACTTTTAGTACCTATGTACCAACAGCTGTACCGATGACCGCCGAAGTGCGTCTCACGAGCGGCTGTATGCTACAGACGCGATTTTGAATCATTGGAGTTTACGAGACCTTCAAATCTCGCACCGCATCGCGTCAAACTTGGACGCGTTTTGGACGCGTTAGCCCGGTTTTGTCTCTTGAGTGCGCTCTTTGACGAGGTGCCTGCACGAAGGGTTACTGAACTAGAATTATCTTCAGGCCATCTTAACACGAAGCCAATAAAAGCATGAGGTGTTCTTCTCAGTTAGTCAATCCAACAGTGGGTGATGGTGCTTGTCCATTCTGCTGACAGAGTATCCTTGGCGTTTAGGCAGACATGCTTCTTGATCGCTTACTATGGTCTGATTTCTTCCCAAACCCAAACCCTATCACAATTTGCAACGATCACCATCAGTCCGAAGGCACCCAAATCGGCGCATCTGAGCAGATCACCACCTTCAAAATGGGTCTGACGGACACGCCTCCCCCTCACGTCCCCTCGTGGGTCGTGCCAGCCTCCGGAGCCCTTCTCATCACAGGCGCCATCTTCTGGGACATGTGCTATGTACTCATGTCAATTCGTTCCCACAGAACAAAATCATACGGCATGCCCCTCTTCGCCCTTGCGCTGAACCTCTCCTGGGAACTCATCTACGCAGCTCGCGTCGCTGAACACCCTCTCGAACGTCTCGGCTTCCTTGTCTGGCTACTTCTTGACGTACCGCTCGTCTACACGACCCTCAAGAACGCGAAACACGAGTGGCGCCACGCACCGCTCGTCGCGAAGAATATCGGCGCTATCCTTGCGACTATGGTAGCCCTTGGTTGCGCGGCGAACTACGCTGTCGCGGAATGGTGGCTGTCGGCGCCCGGTACCGGGCACGGAGACAAGAGTGGCAAGTGGTGGGCCGGACGGGAGGGATTCGATTGTACGGAGCTCGCGTTCTGGACGGCTGGTCTGGCGCAGTTCGCCCTTGGGACGGGATGTCTTGCCATGTTGCTCGTCAGGGGTCACTCTGGGGGCGCGAGTTATGCGATCTGGTGAGTGTTTTCCGTTTGTCTGGGCCTCCTTCGCTGTCTTTGCCTCATCCGATCGGTGGGCGGGTTGGCTTGTCTCGTCTCATGAGAAAACATCCATACGTGATGAGGGTCACCGACGTGTTGGGTCAGAATATCTCACTGTATGCCGTGTTTGCGTCGTCTCCCCTGCCACCGGTGTGCGATATACTCACACCCGCTTCCTCTTCTCGTTCATCCTCGAAACGTGTCATCTTGACGCGTGTTGATGCTATTCCAAAAGAGCTATCCGCAGGTCATGGGTTCGAATGCTGTGCCGCTGGAGTTGCTCTGACGTGTGGGGTCTCTTTCCCGGTTCTCGTTTTCATCGTTCCTTTCATTCTGTCGTATTTGGACGGCCATGTTTGCTCAGTCAGGATAAGCACCCGCTGCATTCGGTGAGAGGGGGTTTCGGGTCATATGAGCACACATCTTATGCTGATCACTTGTTCGAAAGGCTCTGTAGGGCACTTGGCACCCTCACCGGCTGGATTGGCTCAACCGGTCTGCTCTGGTGGTACTGGCCA